TTATTTTAAATACACCCATTAATAAATGTTTATTATATTTATCAGTTACATGAAATAAAATAACAACAAAAGTAAATTATTTATTTTAAAAATACTACATACATGCAAGAATGCTACATCTATACCATACTAATACTAATCTATCTGAATTGAATATAAAGTCCACCTAAATAACAGTTAGTATTCGACCTACTGCACATATAATCTAATTTAAAGTTGCAAATAAAAGTTATAAAAGTTAAGCAAACAAAAAACTCGTGATGAAAGCAGTTTCATCTGCAACTTGATCTGAAAATCCACCTTCCGTTCCTGGTTTTGCGTGACAATGATACGCAGCTACTTATTTAATAACTAATCAAACTTCATCATAGGTTTCGTCAATCGTCAATTCTTCAAGTAAAAGTCACTTGACGAAATGGTTCGTCATTCGTCAGGCATCATTAGTTAAGACCTACTAATTTCCCCTCCGGTGACAATATTAAAAATGTTCGTTATTTGAATGAATTGTAACATTAGTGTGCGCCTATGAACTTTAGAAGCCGCGAATTTTTCTTATTTACGGGACGTCTCATGAGTTATGACTTTAAACCATCAATTCAAAACCATGAACTCACGTAACGCTAGTAGCAAATGAATAAAAAATTCGTGGCGTACGGCTTGTTCGCCATAAATTATTATGTGTAACGAAACATACTAACGTAGTATATTTATGGTGGATTTAGATATGACATAACGCCACTTTTTTTAGAAGCGTAAAACCTTTATTCCAAGCACACCAACAATAAGTTATATTTAGAACGATTAGCATAATTAGGGATAATCACGGTGTAATTACATATTATGTGCAAGGTAACGTCATTTTACAAACAAACCAAAAATTCCAAGAGAACCGAACAATTCCCACATTTAGCAGTTATAAGCTTAATGAATCATAATAATTTAGAAGCCTATGTCCGAGGCTAAAAAAATATAAATACAACGGGATTTAGAATTCTTCCAAACCATCAGTTCAGCGCATAAAAAAAAGAAACCTGATATTTAAGACATTAAAGCTTTAACTACTGAACTAGCAAAATTTAAACATGAGCGAATATCAATCTAGCTTCTTTGTTAATCGAGCATGTGTTTTTATAAATTCTGGAAATGATCCCATGATTCAAAATCAGGTGATCGATGATCCACAACTTATCAAACTTACATTCCCGCCAGAAATTAATTCACATGATTTAGTTATTTTCCACCCCGATGGTCGTGTTCCTAAAACTCCTAACGCCTTTATGATTTATCGAAAATTGTTTGTTGAAACTGCTCGTGCAAATGGTTATAATTTGCCAATGAATATTATTTCACTAATGGTATCTCGATCATGGGAACAAGAACCAGAAGTAAAAAAAGAATATAAAAGAATCGCAAAAGAAGCCTTCGAATTTCGTAATGAATTATTCCCTAAAATAAAACCTCAAAAGAAGAGAGACCAATGGAAAACTGTTTCATTTGATAAACCTTCTGTTCGTAAAATTAGAATTTCTAAACCTATGAAATCTGCCAATAAATCCACGAAACATAAACAACTTGAATCACCTGCATCTGAACTCCAACCTACTCCTAATAACGATTTATCTTCCAAGCCTGATGATTTAAATGATATTGATATGAATTCATCAATTTTTGACCTTGATTTATTTACTGATTGGGCAGATTTCTTATGTAATCAAGATACTTATTCGAATCCTGACTTATCAATAACTTCTAGTAGCGATAGTTCTCCTAATCTAAATAATTTTAATTTTCCAATTCAAGCGGATCAACAAGTTAACGATGATCTCATAAATAACCGTTTATTCGTTAGTGAAAAGCAGTTCCCTCTATATGATAGTCAATACGGACTTGAAATTTTCGATTTCTCTAACGTTAATGTTAATGAAATAAATTCACATAACCTACATGAAATCTTTGATATTCAGAACAATTGCATTTTAAATAACTTGATTAATTCTAACGATCAATTATCTTTTTTGCCTAATTTATTAAATACAACAATAAATCAAGATAATTTAAACGATGCATTAATCGCTTATGAGATGGGCTTTAATTACCCTATTTAAAAAATTTTCTTTATCTTAGAATACTTTAACATTCATTAAATTTTAACGCATATGTAGATTAAGCTTTACGAATATTATTTTTATGATATTTATGCATTTATGCAATTATGCTTCTTATGAAATATGTATGAATTAATTCCAATTTTTATGCAGCAAAGAAATTAAGATATAAGACATTTTTGAAAAACAAATTTAAATGTACATATAGAGATTAACATAAATTATATATTTTATATTTTGATTTATTATAGATTTTTTTTATTTGCGTATTAATAATAAATATTATAAATTTAGTTGATTAAAAGAACGTATATACTTGTATTATGAAAGTGAAACTTTTATTTTAGTTTTGTTTAGTAACTAGCCGAATATAGTAATATTTTGATGTGCACGCAAGTAAACTTATTTCATATTTCTCTTTTCTGTTTTAAAAGTCTTCCAGCCTATATTTTAGCAAATCCACATCTTGTACATTACAAAAAATATTCGATACATTAGATGATATTGGGCTAGAGTTTGAGTTGCTGGGGGTAGTGATTTTGGCCGATAGTGAAAAATATCGGCTAATCGATTTCCGATGTAGAAAATGAATGAGCGAGCAAGGTTGAACCCAAAAAATTCCAGATTAAAGATTAAATTAAATGGTACTATAGATTCGACTAAGCCGATAAAATTTATCGGCTTGGTCATAGCCGAAAAATTATGCTTGGCCAAGATTACTAGCTGGAGACTTTACTTCTTAATTCTGAATAAAATAGTTGGCAATAAAAAATCATTTATATCCGTTGCTATCTATTATTTGCACTAGATAAATATTATCGTTTAATATAATTGTTATTTGATGTCCTCAAAAATTAAACTGCTTGATTACCCCGGTGGTTCCATAGAATTTTGATGTTGTCAACTCTTCATAATGTCTTGAGTTTTATTACATTTAAATCTAGTATTTACAAACAATCTCAAAATGCACATAAAAATAGAAACTAGCATTTATAGATAATATAAAATAATCAAATTCAAAAAAATCGTGAACACATATTATTGACAAGCTGCAAACCTAACCCTTTGATGATATACGTAACGTGATGATAAGATAAAATCGACACCGATGTGAAGGTTAAGCACATAATTTTATATTTGCAAGTTTCATGCACGTTCAAGAAATATAAGACCTGTGGATAGAAATCTTTAAAAAGCGGATAACCATACATTCGTTGCATCTGTTCTTGGTGCTAGTATAATTCCTGGTAAAAATTTATAATCTATCTTGTTATTTTGAGAACTTTCAACTAATAAGCTCATATCTAGTGATGGGCAAATCGCAGTTTTTTAAAAATCCCGCGCGGATATAGTAGAGCTTTTTAATTTTTCATGAATTATAAATATATATATATATTATCACTAGAAATATAATTTCTTGTTAAAACAATATTGTCTTGTTCTACTTGAGATTCTATCAAGAAACTTTGAATATTTGAAGTTCTTTGTCTGTTTATATTAATTGTTGAATTTTTTTTTTGGTTCTTGAAATGTGGGTCCAAAATATTCTTGTTTAATATCTAAACTAACATAATCATATACTTTTAAATGTCCTTCACAGTTTACAATTGATTCATCGCATATGTGGTCACAATAATTATATTTAGCCCGCCCTTGTTTATATTCTGGGTCTGGTCCAAGTTTTTTAAAATGATGTCAAATTGGTTTATTAACACCCATGTTATTACCAATGGCAAAAAAAATTTAAATCAAGTATATGCATATATATGGGGGTGAGTCAATAGAAATCAAGCAAATTGTTTTTATTGAAATTTTTTTGAAACTTTAAACAATAATAATTCAATAAAAACTTAATCAAATTTAATAAAATTTTTTTTAAATGAATTCTACAAATTTGTAGCATTATTTTAAAAAGGTTTTATAAAATTTGATAAAGTTTTAGTTAAGCTATCTTTGCTTAAAGTTTCAAAAAAATTTATTTAGAAAAAATTTGCTTGATTTCTATTGACTCAACATCATATATAGAATGATAAACAAATAAAAAGTTTTGAGGATGGTGATCCTAGTGTAGTGATCAGATTGTTATCCTTCAAGCAGTAGGTCCAGAGTTCAAATCTCACTGGCAGTAGAAGTTTGAAAAATGGTTCTATTTTGATAACTTATTTAAGATCATAATTCTGTAATTCTTGTAGTATTAAGATGTATTTAAAAGTATTAATGTTATACAAATAAATCTGAAAAATATATATCTAAATTAAAAGTCTGTTTGAAAATTCTAAGTGAAGAGATAATACAACTTTTGATAATATATTGTCTATAAAAACCTTGATCTAGAAAAGAAAATTTGAGACAGGTAATCTGTACAAGCAAGAACCTTTAGGTAGAAGGTATCATTAACCTGATTACTGGTTAATTTAAATATGAAGTTGAATTATGCATGGTTAACTGAATTGCTAGTATGAGAGAACCTGTAAAAATAAACAAAATATCAGTAAGGTTATAAAAGAAAGTACTAAGAGTATATAAATTTTATAAGAATTAAAAAATAGAACATTTGTAAAATGAGTTATAAAAGATCTAATAGATACTACTTTTGAGAATAAAGTAGTTCTAAGATTAAAAATAAAAATTCAGCTTATAAAAAGATAAAAACTTTTATAATCTGATAAAATTGATACTAGGAATATAAAATTAGAAGGTTTAAAATAAAACATCTAAGCAGAAATATTAGATATAACAATTAGTAAAGAATATTTGAATGGATCTTAAATAAGTAATATAAAAAAGTTATATGTATAGTTAATTATATTCTTATTCTATAATAGTTAACAATTTTTTTCAACATATTAATAAAGTTAAGATCAAAGAAGATTATCTTAATATTAAAAAATAATAAATAATTAAAAAATTTTATATAAAAATATATATGCATTAATTTTATATATATCAAAATATAAAAATTTAGTAAAGTAGATAAGTTATCAATTCTTTAAGTAATAAATTTTAAGTTCAAAATCTATCAATAATAAATTTGAAAAAATTTATTTGTACTATAGTAATGCTATTTTGTTAATAGTTAGAATAAAATACCTGTAATTATGATTGCATTAGTAAAACTAATAGATTAAAGAGTATCTACATAAACTTGGTTATATAAAGAAATGTAAACTGGTACTGGACATATAAAACTAAAATAAGTTCTTGTGGTTATATAAATCTGTAGAACTGAAAAAATCAAAATTTATTAAAAAGATCTAAATAATAAAGTTATTAATAGAATAGCTTGCTTTAGAGTGCTTTAGAATAAAACTAACCTGAGTTAAAGTAGGTTTAAACTTTTATTTTTAAATTTAAAACAATCTAGAACAACCTAAAGTAACTATAGAGCAACTTAAAATAAAATACTAAAATAAGTCTAATTTACTAGAATAAATTAAGAATTAGATCAAACTAACTCAACTCATTAACAGCTTTATAATAGAAAAATAATACAAATTTTTGATTGGACTATTATAAAGACTGAACTAAAAAACAAATATTAATATAAAGAAATTAGACAGGCAAGAACCTCTAGATAAAAGATATTACAACTAAATTGCTAAAAGTCTTAAACTAAAGAAAAAGAATATTAAACCAGACTTGGTATATCAGAGACAAGTTATAGTCCTACTGGCTTATCTAAATTAGAAGTTAGATAACAAACCAAAGATATATTATAAGTATTAAAGATATATTGTAAAGTTGGTATTAGGGTTTGGATAAACTCTACAAAAATAAGCTTTGTTAATAACTATGAAAAAATAAATAGATTAGTTAACAGAAGGACCTTCAAAGTTGTATAGCCAAATAACATTTTCTAAAATATGTAATAACTTAACAGATACACAAAAAAAAAGTTAAAATTAGGTTAAATAGCACTTAAATATATAGAAATATATATATTATTGTATTTGTCAAATATAATATAAAAATCAGAGTGTTTAATTAGGTAATCTTCTAGTAGCAAACAAATATAAAAATTAGTATAAAATCTGTATGTGGTCTACTTAAATAGGTAATCAAAAATTACATATATAATTAGTTGTACACTTAACTTATACAAGCTATATAACTATAATTAAAAATACAATAAAGGCATTAGTTACTAATAACAGCTTTAGCAAAAGCAAAAAATATATATATATTAATTACTAAATAAAAATTAATTTATTTATTTAATGCAAATTAGATATATACTTATATAAGCTAAATAATCTTATTAAAATTCTATATAAGATCTAAAAAAAAATCTATGCAGATTCAGTGCATAAACTATTACTATTTATTTCTGTTGTCCAAAACAAAAATAGATAATATACATAACAGAAAAAAGATATTATGCAATATTATTTAATAATTTAAAGTTAGAAATAATTTGACAATCTAAGATTAAAGTTGGGTAAGTCTACAAAAATATTATACTTTATGATAATTAAAATATGTCTTTTGAGATTTAATTTATAAATAAATTGGGTTTTTATATTTATTAAAGCTATGACTAATTCTTCTTATATTTTTTTCTAAAACTAAATAGCTTTTTATACATTGTTATAGAGAATATTTAAGAAGAAATTTATATCATTTTATTACTCTAATATATTTTTTCTATTAACACAATCAGATTATAGTATAGGTTACACATTTATCTTAATAGGTAATATTACTTTAACACTTACTAAATCAAATTTGATAATACCTTTTGTTTCTACAGAATTAGTATTATTAATTTGATAAAAGCTAGGTTCTTACAAGTTTTTCAACTTATTGTAGAGAGGTCATTATTTAATTTTCATAAATACTAATTATTGTTTCATATTTTTTAATATAATATTCATAACACTTTTGTTACTAATAATATATTAATTAATTTTTTATTTTTTTGAATTTTTTACTATCTTTAATACATAGCTTTAAATTTTATTAATTTTATAAATTTTGTATAATAAAACCAGATTTTATAA